CGTGACGAAAAGGGTTAATTACCTAACAAGAACAAAAAGGAGACTTGGACAATTCATCAATTCCAAATTATTAAGGCATGTGCTGGTTTTTGACCACTTCAGAAAACACCTAACATAGAAATATTACTTGTTTTACATTTTTAACAATTGTCAGTTCAATGACTCTAGAATGATTGGTTAGGTTATCATACTGTCGAGAGTATAAATAATATGAGTAATGATAGGGTAGTTAAAAATTTAGAATATAAAAAACAAAAAAAGTCAATCATTAAATAATATAAAATTTACTTTTAATATTTTAAATAACATGACTTATATCATATTATTAATCTTAGACTTTGGTTCCAAATTTTAGTTCTATGTATCATTTTTCAAAGGTTAAAACCCTATTTTGGTTTTTGAATTATTGTACAAACCTCCAATTTGATCCATAAACTTAAAAAATCCTTGATTCTTATTGTTTACTAATTTAGTCCCAATTTAGTCATTCTATTAAAAATCTATTGTTAACTCATAGGGAATTAATGACATATAAAAAATTTGAGATATGTCAGATAAAAATGATGACATAGCAACATGACATGTCATATTCTTTGCCAACAAAAAAAAAAAAGTGGAACCCACCAAAATTACAATTTTACCTGCATCTCCTTCCTCCAACATCCTCTTTCTCGAATCTTTTATTTTTTGCCCTTGGGTTTGAAGGAACCTTGCAAGGAACTCATGCTTGTTGGGTTCAATGGAACTCGGTAGTCATTGGGTTCAAAGGAGAAAGAGAAGGAGAAAGAAAAAAAGAAAAGAATTTTTTAAGTTTTATTTTTCATATTAATATTTTTTATATTATTATTTTTTTCATGTCATTATTTTTTGTCATGTTGTCTTCCACGTGTGTCAATATTTTGTCATGAAAAACTAAAAAATTAATGGTCAAACCTCTATTTGCACCTTGAATTTATGGTCCAACCCCCTATTTGCACTATAACTTTGTTGGTAATTTAGGACTTTTTATAGGTTTTAAATTATGAAGGGTGTTTACTAAGATGAAAATTAATTTAGGATGTTGACTATGAAAAGAAAAAATGTATAAAATGCAAATAAGGGGTTTTGCCAATGGAAAAAGCAATTCTGCTTTCTTCCAACTGCTCGTTTTCCACTCTTCTTCTCTTGTGTGCTCAATCATATTGCCACAAGTGAGACTTGAAAATCAGCATTTCCTTCAATTTCCATGCAAGAGCCACAACACCATAAATAACAGTAACAACGCTAAAAATAGATGCCATGACTACCGAAAATTAGACCTGACATTGGTAATTAACCTCTTGAGAAATCAGTTTATTATTCTTCCTGATTCAGCCTTGCTTTCTGTTCCTGATAGGGGAATCTGTAACAAATCCAGATATTAGTGAAGTTCTCAGATTTTGTGCTTAATTCATTTTTGGAGTTATGCAATGTTACAGGAAAATAATGCTTTGCTACACAGTAACAATAATAGAAAGAAATAATGACAAAGAATGAGAAGATTCATGAATCTAATATTCAAAACAAATTTTTCAGTAGCTACTTGATTATCCCTTTACTCATATGTAGTTTAAGTGCTTTTTGTGAGATTTTATTCTAAAAGTGAGATTCTGTTTGGTGGAGTGGGACAATTCAAAGGAAGGAACTGGCACAAGCGCAAGTTCCTTTTCTCTTCCTTCCAAATTGCACTCAATAGTATTGAGTTGATAGGGTCCCAAAACACTAACATCTAACATTTGCACTTGCCCCGTTGCTGCAGCCATGGTCAGTTGGTAGAAGGTGCAGAAGAAGTAATTCCTGAAATTGATCTTCTTTGGTTGGTGTCAAAATCAAACTATAAAGACAAGCTAAAAGTTGTTAAACTTCCATAGAGGGAGCTAAGAATAGCTAAGTCTTAATGCTTAATTTTCCTTTTACATTAGCAAAGAATTAAGGAATACCTACTCCTTAAAAAATGGAAGGAAAATTATCAATATTAAGGCTTAGCTGTTCCTAACTTAAAAAACTTCTCAAGTCTACCTTAATTTTAGAGTTTGAACTTTGACGCTTGAATGGCCACTACCACCCACCAAATATGACCTCATTAGGGAGATTTGAGGTTACTTATGGGCGAAAAGGTTATTCAAAAGTTGAATATATGTTACTTAGACTGACTGCCCAAGACCAAGACAAGGTAAACGGCATCACCATCCCAATTAAAGGATTCCCATTAACATCAGGCCATACCCACACCCGTCACTATTAATTTAAGTGCGTTGAAGATAGAAAACAAAACACAAACATAACATTAGATGAAAGAAAGTTAAGAAAATAAACAAAATGAAAATAATTAAATGATAAGAAATTGTGCATGTGAACACCAGTAATGGAAATTTTAAACTAAAGAGTAACTTCCAGGATATTAAGTATACTTATAATTCACAAACCCACAAGAAGGAATACCAACATTCCTACGTCTATAAATTG